GGGGGGGGGGGGAAGTTCCGCTGCTTCAGACCATGACCTAGCGTCGACATTTGAAAAAGTTAGTTGGGCCCAAGGATTGATGATTTCCAATGGAGATTTGGCTCCAGAATAGGATTCAGTGGCATGATTGTCGTGCACCATCCTGTCAGTCCAAACCCTGTTCCCCATAACAAACAAAAGTAAGCCACAAAATGTGTACGCTGAAACTAATTAAAATTTTTTTGGCAATCCATACAACCTCGGAACAACAATCCCGGTTGGCCTAATACGTTCGAAAATGGGCGCATCAATGACTCCCCTCTATTTTAAGCATTGCAAAATCTTAGAGAGCGCCCATTCTATTTGAAATGTCTTATCCTTTTCCGTCGATTTGATGAATTTCGACCGATCACTCAATATAGTATTGTCTATGTAGTCCATTCAATTTGGTAGCACGATCCCCGTCCCCTTTTCCGATCTGGATAGTATAATATCTTTATTTTTTTGAAGTTCTCGTAATTGTCTGATGTATTCTGTAGTTACTGGTTTATTTGAATTTGGCTTGAAATTCTAATACTGATAGCAAGCATTCACTAAGGTAGATTTAAGCCTTTCCAATTCCAATGGTGAAGAGGAAACCATGTCAGAAGGTTGCGTATATAGGTTTTCAAATTTCACTTAACCAAATGGACTACATAGAAAAGATGAACACGATATTGAATGATCGGTCGAAATTCATCAAGTCGACGAAAAAGGATAAAGACAGCCCAAATAGAATGGGCGCTCTCTAAGATTCTGCAATGCTTAAAACAGTAGAGAGTCATCAATTAAAAACTCTTTTATTCATTTGTTCTTCCTGTTCTCCGTTATCCTTTTTTGTTGTACAGTACCAATGGCTTAGATTGTATGCATATATTTCTCACGCGTCTGAATGCGTACTATGTGCCAAACAAATCATAGTTTAGTAATCTTTATGAAAAAGAGGAAGTTCCTTGATTTTTTTCTGAGCGGATTTCTGCCAAGTTGCCCAGACCAACGCAGGTGAATTTTCTTGGTGAATTCACAACCGGAGCCTTTGACTAGAAAAGTCTGACCCGCAAGACAGCAGAGTGGTTTTGCAAAAATCGCAATCCATTGGAGGCCGATTCATCGGATCACACGCCCTTTGGTCCTTTCGGTCAAATTTCCGAGGTGTCCAATAGATCTTGATGCTCAATTGTGACTCAGAATGCGAGTGCTTTGTGATAAGCCGTCGGGATACGGCTAGACGAATCATGTGACGGTTTCTGTAACCTATCTGAGCACAATCACCTGACATATTTCCGGATTGTTTCTGTTTTCAGACACTCCCCGACTGATGTCTCGTATTCTTTTCTATCCCCATTTGCGGGGTGTATTGAAACGCTTGCCAGAACACTATAAACGACGCTATCTGGAAGCGCATGGAACACAACCGGTTAACTATCTTGAGAGCAGTCCGGCTCTGGTTGGTCGTACGATCCGGATGAAAAATTTGTAAGAAATATACTATTCTCCTTCTGTCTACTTATACTCTTCGATTAGGGCACCTGGGGAATATTACGATATTCCACCGAAAGTAATGTATCCGCCCGAATCCGATCGTTGTTTGTGGGCTGGTGAAGGAATTGTGGTCGGGAATGCACAGAAAAATCCGATGAGTGACATGTAAGTTTCGCTGGGTTTTTTCGTTTTGATCAATCATAATCCGGCTTTCAGCTACCCAAGGTCTTGGAGACCAAAACTTTTGCAACATCTGTTCTACAGTGAGATTTTGGATCGTTGGATGATCATCATTGTCACGGATCGAGCTCTGCAGCTTATCGAACATTTCGGTGGTCTTGATTCCTACATTCTTTCAGTAAGTGACTTTATGATGTACTACATGACACACAGTTTTTCGGGACATCATCGACTGGCCACTTAATGCAGCAATTGTTTGGTTTCTAGTGAACTGGTGTCGTAAACAGTGGCCTTCTGGTGCACCGAGTCATCTTATCGTTGAAACAACCTTAGTTCATGTAAAATTCTCCATCTACTCTTTGACTCTGCTCGCAACAGTCCATGCTTCCCTATGGTCTTTTATCCAACTGGGCAGTACTTTACTTTACTTTACTGCGGCTGGCTCCTTGGAAAGGATAAGTCGGCTCCAGATATGATCATGATCAAGATCGTGGAGTTCCTTGGGAGTTTTGTACGAGAGACGTCCCCAGCGTCACTCGGCGTTTCTTTATTTTGAGGGCGCCCTTCTAACCTTTGCACAACCAAGTGCGAACTGCAAGGCAGTAGGAAGTAATCCCTCGCCTCGGAAGTGAGGGGGTCAATGGCTTTAGTTTTAAAAGGCCAGTCACATCGACCTTTGTCACGACACCGTCATTGGGCTTAAACAGGAGCCAGGTGATGAGCCTGAANTTGGCGGCTGCTTATTTGTTGCGGTATGCCACAACTTATTCACAGCTCACCTTCTTCGGTGAGGGTATCCCCCTATCCACAACCCGGGGACGCGCCTGGTAGCATTCTGCTCTGCCTAACCCACGAGGGTATCCAGGGCAGTCATGAGGCTGTAATCAAAAACCGGCACACGAAACTGTATGGTTGCAAAAACTGAAATTGAACTGATGCAGAAATCCTAGCAGTTTGCGCTCTCCTGGTAAGCTTAGTTTTTCTATTCATATGGTTACACAGAGGCACGATGAATATACTCATCACAATAACCTCATTTGCAACAATGCTATGATTTGATGTTTTGTGTGTGTGTGTGTGTGTGTGTGTGTGTGGGTTAGATACTACTAACCGCAATAAACGATAATTCAGCGTCTTGATGGGATATTTTACAATAAGTAGTATATGAATGACTGGACAAGTGAAGTATTCCGTTAAGACACTCAAGTCTCGTTTGTTACGATCCATAGCACCTAACCCAC